GCAGGTGCTGTGCTGCTGAGCTATCTCCCCAGCCCTAGAAATACATTTTTAATATTACCTTAATCCATCCAGATTGTTTATATATTTAATGAAAATTAAATTCATTGTATCTTTAAATCTGTAGATAAACTCATTATTAGTATCTGAAAGTCAATTATGCAGTTAAGATGGACAGAAAATGATACTAGGAATATTAATACTTTAATTCACAAAAATTTTTGAAAATCCTTTTTTCTGGCTTATACAACCATAAACTAGCTGTACAATAAAAATAGATTCTTTGCACTTATAACTTTTTATAGAACCTCTACCAGTATGGAACTGAAAGAATTCACTTAGTTTTCATTTATTTTCCTATGGTCAAAGAACATAATTTGGTAGCAGATGTTTTACAGTTGACTTCTCTTAGGCTGAACTGAATTTCAGGAACCAATTAGCATTTCATGTATTCTACATTGCCTACTCATAGCAGCACGGTTCATCACCAACATAGGTAAATCTCTGAAAACAAAAGCTGAGTTGGTCTGACTGGAAGGGAAACGATTCCCTGAACACAAGGAGATGACTGCAGCTGCTCTGCCCTCTAAGGATAGGAGGGAGCAGCTCAGGAAAGAAAGTCCTCTTGGTGTCGACAGTACAAAGTGCTGTGGGGGAAATGCCTTGAGCCTGAGGAGCGCTGGGAGCAAGGGATTCAGAGGTAAAATAGGAGCAGCATCTCATCTTCCTTGGTAGAAATTTAAGTTGTAAATTCAAGTTAGAAGCAGGTCAAAGACCAGAAGATAATGCTCTGGAGAATCCATATAGCAACACAGCGGACACCAACAAGCACTCATACTTAGGGACTCCTTTTCTTGCACTGGCCAGAAGACAGGACGCCCCAAAACACAGTAGTTCAGGCCAAGCAGTTTATTTTCCTTCTCCCTCCTTCCTCCCAAAAGCCCATAAAAGTATTCACAATGGTCAATGGAGCCGCCCCATGTGGAAAACCAAAGGATAGCTCCTTCTAATTAGTCGGTGCTGAAAGCTGTCCACAATATGGCAGCAGCTGGCTCACCAACTGGTCAGCATTTTGGTCCTCAGCCACAGGGAAGAAAAAGAGCAAGCAGCCTCCTTTTGAAAGAAAGTACCCAGCAATTTGCACGTCCTTTATTAGGAAGTTACTCCAAGCGAAGGTCTAGATGGGCAGCCCTGCTCATATTTAAAATGGTGCAAGTGGTTCTGTACTTGGCATAAAGGTAGAGGTTAATATAAGAAAATAATTACCAGTCTCTGATATATCCACGACTTAATTTTTTTTTTTTTTTTTTTTTTGGTTTTTCTCCGCTACCGGGAACCAAACTCACAACCTTGCACTTGCCAGGCAGGCTCTTTTGCCGCTGAGCTAAATCCCCAGCCCCTCCATGACTTAATTTTAAAAAGCCTTCCTCTCCCAACTTCCACCTGCTAAGTGTTTCATATTACCCAAGTTTTTTCCAGAACCACTGACAGCTACTCTGATCTACACATAGCAGTGCGAAAGGAAGGTATTTAACACTTCCCAGTGGACTGCAATTAAACACAGATGAAGTTACTGTGTAAAGCCAGCTCCTCCTCCTCATGCATAACACTCTGTGGTGTGATTCCAACATCTTCACCAGTTTCCTCAGGACTGGTCATCACTGATGACATATCTTTTTGAGCTGTTTTTCCTTCCCCATCTCCTGCCTCTCTTCTCCTGGTGTTTCCTGCACATCAGAAACAAACTACTGACATTTTAATTCCTGTTTCAAGATCTGCTCCTAAGGACACCTAAGCTCAGACCACAGGGGAGAATAATGGGCTCTGAGAGAAAGATTAAACATCTTTTGAAATAATTAGGAAGAACTGGAATAGAAACATAGAAAATAAAGCAAGCGAGCCAACAAATATCACTTACAGCGACATTAAGGACACCAGAGATGCTCACACAACACTGTTGAGATTAATGCAGTCATAACACATGACAGTTATTGTTGATTTAACCAAAATTGCGTAATAACTGCATCAGAAGAAAGAGGAAAGATGATTAAATCTTTGTAATCCATTGATAACACCTAAAGTGCATACTTAAAGTATTGTCTAAAAATATGGAGATAAGTACTCAGAAAAAAAGTGCTACAAGAGATGACAGTGGTTCTTTGGCCTTGGAGAGGGACTTGTGTGAGTCCAAAGAGTACAATATCTTGTGAAACAGGGATATATTTTAAATTGTTTATAAACACTGTCAGGTCAAGAAATAGATGCATTTGTTACCTGATTTATAATTTATACAGTTTTGTGCAAAAGTTACAACTGAAGTATAAAATTGAAATTTAAAATAGAAAGGGGAAAAGGAAATGTAATGGAGGTTTGCCACTTATGGCCACCTTTATCATTTTGACATCTGTTTGTTTAGACATGCACTTATTTTAGATAATTTTTGAAAGGTTTTTCAATAGAAGAATAAATTTTCAAGTGAAGAAATATTTCATATTTGTGTGAAAATAACTATACTGCACCATGACATTCATAAAGGTAGTGAGGAAGGAAAGATCAGGGACTGGCATTTTAAAGTCTGTTATTCTGTAGTATTCTTAAAAACTATAAGCTTGAGATGGATAATTCTTCATCCAAGCATCTTCACAGTCTGAAAATATAAGCATTCATAGCTACCATTCTAATACAGTAAGATGGTGTGGGAAGTGATTTTTTTTTTTTTTTTTTTTTTTTTTAGACAGGGTCTTGCTATGCAGTTTTGCTTGGCCTTGAGCTCACTTTGTATGCTAAGCTGGCCTTGAACTTGCAAGAGGTGACTTTTTGGATAGATGCAGTTATAATTTTATTTAAGAAATTAACTCATTTATGAAATTAACATTCCATTTGGGAATGGAAAAAATAATCATTCCTCCCACTCAATTCCAGTATCCAAACCAGTTTCTCCATATCCATAAAACATTCTTAGCCACAGCTACAGGTATCTACCAAGAATTTTTATGTAGATAGTATATTGAATACATAAACTAAACTAATTTCCTATACCCCATGAACTCATTACCAAGTGTGATTGCATGTAGTGTTCAGGGATGCTATATAGTACCAAGTACAAATTAGAATTTTAGTCTATTCTGGACAAAACATGGACTATAGTACAAGTGTAATAAAATAGGATATAAATAAATTATATGAATGATGAAACATAGTTAATTCAGTTATCACATAACAAAATAAACAGGCAAAGTCAGGCTTTTAAAAATCATTATTTAATGAATGCAGATTTTCTGGGTGATGTTTGGATTCAGGAGGAAAGAGAAGGAGATATAATTTCTCTTGCCAGTGGCAAGGTTTGAATAAGAATTAGCAAAAGTGAGCAAGGGAAACAGGAAGTACTAGGTGTTTATCATCTTTACCCCAAAGAGCTGCCCAACATCCACTCCTTAGTTCCTGCAGAGGTCAGACATACGGGAAGATTCTGCAGGAAGGCACAGACACTAGAGACATCTATCTCGGATTCCTTCACTTACAAGTGCACTACTACTAAAAAGAACCTGGGCTGATAATTCCACTTCTTAGTGTGATACATTGGTCCTCCTTCTGAGAAGCCAATGGTAATGACTTTTCTGTGTTTTGTAAATTTTATTTAAAATCATTAGTATAAAATACCTAAGCTTCCTTCCTGCCTGTCATTCAAACATCAGTGAGCAGCTGGTTCATCTATGAATTCTTCTTAAAGGGCTTTTCTAAGCCATATTTCTAAAAGTTACTTCCACTATGTGAGATCATATTTTTCATGATTAATGTGGAAAAGATCAAAGTTGTACTACATGAGATGTCTAAACAATGAAAGCAGGGCAGGACATATAATTCAAAAAATGTCTAAGGCCTACAGGGTGCATCATACACCCACATGTCCAGAACCAAAGAGAGGGAATAAAGTTTTTCATGATGGATTCTGGACATATCAGTAAATTTCAATTAAACTAAATTAACTGAACTTAATTCATATAGACAGTTTGATAGTTCTTCAATTGCTGAAAATTCACTAACAGGACCTACCACTATAGGTCAGTGTGAAACACAGGTGAAGATAGTACAGACCACTCACAAAAATGAAGAAAATTGGGCCAGGAGTAAGAATACGCACATGACCCTGGGGTCTGACAAGGGAAATGAGATCTGTATAGGGAGAATGTAGTGCAGTACAACGACATATCAACAGATGGAACCACTCAGAGAAGGCTGCTCTAGAAGAGGCCACCCGTGCCTTGTCCCTGTGCTTTTAGCCTACCAGGGAGCTCTCTGTGCACAGCCCTAGGACCACTCCTTGTTACCTGTGTTCCTGTTTGGTGGTGATCTCCATCCTCGCAGCCTGCTCCGAGGTCACTTGGGCTGGGGAGGCTGAGGTCTTCATCAGGAAGGGAAGGGGCCTACTGTGTAAATACCTCAGGTTATCATCCTCAAGGGTGACTCAAAGGGCGTTCCACCTGCTCTCAGAGGGCTGTGGGCATGACAGGGTCCCTTTCAGCAATGGCAGCAACCCCCTCTGTAATGGTCTGTCCTTGATTTCCTTCTTTCTCCATCCTACTGCCCACTTTCTCAGAGCTTCTGAGTCACCTTCCATGTCAGGTGGGTTGCTCTAGTAGTTCAGGCCCCTCTGTAAGCCTAACAGACCCCATGGTCCCTTCACAGTGTGTTTGGGAAAACTAAGTCAAAGGGGCTGATTCCTCACAGAGATCTGTGTAGAGGAGGAAAAAGATAGCAAGAAGAGCTGAAATTAGAGTGAGCAAGAGACTCCACAGGAAGTAGGAGTCTGAGGAATTGTTGCCTGGAAAGTGAAGCAAAACCCTCCAGAATACCCAGAGACATACAGGAGATTGGGACAGGGTTTCCTCTCATGTGTGTGACAGCTACTGAAGCCATTTTAGGGTTTAGGGAAATGGTGACCAAACAGAGGGAAGACTTGGGAATGTGCAGGTGGCTGACACGTGGGTTCATTTCTCTGGGCCTAGAGTGAGGAGGTCAGACACAACGCAGGTGCCCTACCATGGAAGGCAACGGTTGTGGTGAGAGTGAGCCTTGTGCGTGCATGAGGGCTCAGAGGAGGTGTGACTCTCTCCAGGGTATAGGGGTATGCTCACATTTAATCTCAACTCTGCGGACATGAGTGACGTGCTTGAGTGGAACTGTGAAGTAAAGGCAGTCCTGAGACTCAGTGATGTGGGCCAGATTTGTTGCAGCCCATACATTAAAGCAAATGTGTTAACTTGATATGATGCATTTAAAACATTCATTTCATAGGGCACTAAATGATCACAAAGACAACATTGATTTTGACATGTAAATTTTGAATTGAAAAATGTATACTTTGCAAGCAGAGCAGCAAATACATGAGCCACAGGTGATCAGTAATTCCATAGTCGCGAAGCACTGCACTTTAACCAGTTATCCTCTCTAGATATTTATTAACATGAATAGAGGTGCAATGTGACAGAAGAATTGCTAAATTGGTCTACCTGGGATTGGAGAAAGCAAGACATCCAAGCATCTTTTTCTCCCTCTTTTGGAAAACATTACAGCTATGGCCCCTGAGTAGACTGCCTTGCCTTGTCTATCTGTAGTTGCAGCAGTTCAATCTCCAAAGACAGCTTATACAGCTGCAAGGCCATCTGTACTTCAGCTGGGCTTGTGAGGCACTGCATGAGCTTTCTGCCTATGGCCACCCGTTCACAGCTTTCCGGTACCTCCTGAAAGAGATGCTGGTGGTGGGTATGGTAGAGAGACTTCTGCTGACCACCCAGCAATAGAATTGTATATTACATGGTCTAGAAATAGGAATCAATACTCCCAGGTCTGTAGAACACTGCTCTGTAAGGGGCTCCATTTTTCCAATACTCAAATGAGAATGGGGAAACCTGCCACTGTTAACACATCAGATTGATTCAAGAAGAAAGAGAGAATTTTTTTGAGGAATTGAGAAGTGATTCTTGACAAATCATATCACCATTACTGGCCAGGACAGAGCTTTGTAGGAGACCACCACATTCATGGCTGACAGCACAAGACTACCTTGGTTTTTCTACTTACCCACTCACACTTGGGCACTTCTGGGTACCAGGTTCTGTTCTCTGAGCAAGTGATAGTTTGGAAACCCTTCACTCCAAAGCCAGAGTCACAGTGAATGGTGACATTTTCTGATTCAATATACTGAGGCTTATTCACAGACAGCTTTCCGTTTTCTATCTTTGGTTTCAGACACTGTGCTACAATGGAAACATATTTTAGGCAATCTATGAAAAAGACACGATAGTAGTCAAAGATAATAATAATAGTGAGTTATATTTAGGCACTGCTTATTATTTTGTCTTTTCTTTCATTTGGATAACAAAATCTTTTTATTGGTCATAATGATCTAAACACTTTACATGACTATCTCAATTATCTCTCACAACCTCTCACTATGAGATGAGAACCACCATTTAATCTCACTTTATCTAGAAGGAAATTTAGATACAGAGAGGGTAAGAAACTCCTCCATTGTCATAACTTGTTTAAATAATATGATTGGATGCTTTTAAAAGTGAATGTGACTCCAGAGTCTCAGCTAGCAAAGTAACTCTCACGGACTGAGTTACTGCAAGATTCTAGGTAGGCGACTTTCCTGTTGCCAATTACTCTTATGTACACGATGGAGAAAATGGTGTCAAATAAATCTGTGTGATTCTGATCTAGTGATACGATTGTTGTATGCATGTAAAAATCACACCCAATCTTGACTCCTTTTGTTCCCACAACTGATTGTCAGACGGAGTCCCCTCAACACACATTATCCCGCCATGCTGGTGATGCCCTGTAAGAGACTTTGATGGAAATAGCTGCCACTCCATAAGGTTTGAAATTGGCCCAGGAGAGTCTGCATGCTTGTAAGGATAAGTTTCCTTGAATATTTTGTATGGGCACACAGGTGTGATGTCCTCATAATGTGATGTCTCAAGACTATTTCTGGAAGTACACACCAGGACGAGGGCCTGAATCAAGAAGGCTGAAATCTGATTGGGAGAAAGAAGTGGAGGGGAGTCATGTTTGTGTGCTTTTGTGTGCATGTGTGTGTGTTTCACAATGGGGTATCATCTGCATATGTTAATTACTTAAAATAAATACACCAAAATAAAATTTTCTGGCTGCCTCTGGCAGAGAAGAGCTTTGCTGTCCATCCTCGAGCAACAGTTCATGGCCATGGTCATGGCCTGAGAAAGGAGCTGAGTTACCTTTACACTTGGGTGCTTCAGATGACCACTGTGAATCCTTGCAGGAGAGGGTGTCTTGTCCAACCAGTTTATAACCTTCATCACATTTATATGAAAATGATGGATCTGAGTAATATGGTGAAACTGCGGTATAATGTCCATGGGTAATTCCAGGAGGCGCATGACAGCCTTGACAATGAGACACAAAAGTGATAGAGTGTGAGCTTGTAGAATGCGTGAAGGAGCACATTTCAGAGTGTATATGGTAATAGAAGGCTTCATTGTGTCCTTCCATCTTCTCTGCCCATAAGATCATCTGTGTTGCCCTCCTGCAAGCCTCAGGCTGAAGAACTAGACAGACTCAAGCTATATACAATAATTATTGCTTTCCTCCAAGACAGCCCATGTTCACCCATGTACAGCTGCACTGGGAAAAGGTGCATAATAATGCAAAGATTAATAGACACGGGCTTAAACTGAATGATATTTGGAACCATCAGTCTCTCCTATTAGCCTACTTGGTGGTCATTTACATTATCCCTGAAAGTAGATAAAATTGGACCCTTGGCCTGTAGGATAAGAATTATCATACACAATAAGGCTAAAAAGAAGAAATTGATATTGCCCACATACTTTCCACCTTCCCTAAGGTAAAGGAAGTTATATATATATATATATAATTTATACATACGTATTATCATATAAATACCCTAAGAGGTAGGAGGAGAATGGAGAAATTAGTATCCCTTTTAAAGAGCTAAATATGTAGAAGTGATCACCTGATCATATCTCAATGAAATTCTCTGGTCTACTGAAAAGTTAGAAGGGTTTGGGAAAATTAAACTACTCCATTAAAAACTAAATCATATGTCAGTCCCTATCACAGCCTGTGTACCAGAAGTGATATCTTTGCTAGAGCAGATTAATGTGACCTCAGGTAAACAAGGCCACTGATTTAACAAGTCCCACTTCTGTCCCCGTTGGGGGACATTCTAGATTTAAATCATAACATCTACCTATATACACTTCTACTCATTTGGAAGACTTCCTCTCACTACTACCTTTTGAAATCACCCGTGGCTGGGCTTTAATACATCTTCCACTAGCTTGTTCTCTTGCACACATAGTAAAAATTCTTGTCCATGAACAAAACTTGGTCTTTTCCATGCACTGTCAGTTGGTTACAATGGAAACTTACCCATGTAAACATTACAGTGAGCTAAGGGAAAGCCACCCATTTGACAACAGCTGATCACAAGCAGAGATTGGGGATCTTGTTGTGCTTTTAGTCTGTGCCACCTGGACCTGCTCCTTCTCAATCCCAGATGTACCATTTTCAATTTACAATGGATTATTGCCAGGCTGACTTTATAATTTGATGTATCTAACAGAAGCAGCTCACAATGAAGGATTTTGGACACAGTCTCTTAATGACCCAAGAGCAGGAGCTTTGTCTCCATCAAGACAAGGTAAAATAAAAGGAGTTATATTCCAAATATTCTATAGGTCTCTGATGCAATGCCTGGCCTTGCTTCATGGTCTCAAGGGTCTGTGGTATGATTGTCACATTGACTTTCGCATCTTCTCCTATTGTAGCCACCTGCAATACACTAGGCTCTGCACAACACTCACACTTAAAAACAGGGATGATTTCAACATAGACTGGACCTAGACCTCCAACACAGCCCTTTTCTAACAGGAACCCCTTTTGAACCTGGCAATCTTCTGTGGCACCTAGTATACGGTTTGGGACAGTATTCCCAAATACAGATTATGCTGCTTCTAGAATCTGAAAAGTTCAATTAGATGGTAGGCTTTCTTCTTTGTAGTGGGGTGTAAAATTTGCAATAATTCAACTTTAGTTTGGATATGATATCCTAGTATTCCCTGGACCTTGGACCTATAAAAATTTCAATGTAACAACTGCTGAATATTTATCTTCCTCACTCTGGGGCACCATCATGCTAACTACTTTCTGTTCATTCAGTAGAATTAGCACAATTCCTTTGATATATTGAATCAAGTTGATATCCTGTAGATATCCAAAGTGTCACCATATCTTCAGATTCAATTATGCCAAGGCAACAGTGCCAAACTGAAAATGTATACACTTGGCCTTCATGTGCTTGCAAACTGCTCCTGACCATGCTGCACAGTGGCAGAGAAGGCTTTTGTTGGGCAGAAGGACTCTATTGGCAGTTGGGCAACATACTGTGTGTGTTACACTTTGACACAAAATTTGTCTACATTTTGCTCATGTCCTGTGATTTTTGTGGGACACTGAGGTAAAGGGGAGTATACTAGTTAATCTGGCAGAGGAAACTTCAAGGCAGCTCAATGATGACCCAATGGTATAGCTTTCAACCAGCTCTACATTGAGAATCGAAATCAAATAACACAGCTGAGCAATTTTAAAAGTTTTGAGGAGAGCCTCAAAATTCGGTTTCGGCCCAGGACTGATTGGTTGCTAAAAAGACTAGCATTTTAAAAAGCCAGTTACTTTGAGTCAATGTAATAGGAAGGATGCCCTGACAATATCACAGGAAACAGTAAGACCCCATTCCTTGCCCCACAAAAGTGAAAGACTGCTTTGACAAGAGAGCCTAAGGCTGTTCTGCTCTTTCTGGACCATAGAAGGAAATGTTTCCCAAATTCCAGCCATACATGCACTCAGGATCTTTGCCATCATGATCCAAGTGGGGTGCAGCTACTGTTCAAGCTAGCATCAGGCGCTGGATCATCTGCAGGGTGCTGCTTTTACAGGCATGCACAATGTAAGAGTTGTGGGTTCAGGGAGGGTTACACCCTGATTTCAGAAAAAGGCCTAAGGAACCAGGAAGGTGCCCCTAAGAGGGCAGTGTGGGAAGCTGTGAGAGCGAAGTCAAAAGTGCAAGTGAGACACCAGTGAGTTGGAGAAGTCAGGAATGTGGAATACTTCAGAAAGTTGAAGGCAGTGAGTGGAGCCACCCCAAGAGAGAAGCCATGGGGGCTGGAGCCAGCAATGCTGTTGGCAGCCATCCGAGCCCTGTGGATTTCACATCTTGTTGCCCCAACTTTCCCCAGGTCCTGGACACAAATCTGTTTTAAACATACTTAATGTTTGCCTGCAGGGCTTTGTTCTTGCTTTGGTCATTCCTTTTTATCTATGTACTTCTCCCTTTTAGAACAGGATGTTTACCCTGTGCAATTATGTGTGGGCACTGGTTAACCTTCTTTTTTATTTTTATAGGAGCTCATAGGTAAGATTTTGCCCTAAATCTCAGAGGAAACTTTAGACTTGAGCCTTTTAGCATTGCGGATACTATTAAGAATTTGGTAGCTCTTACAGGTGGACTAAAGACATTTTGTATAGAGATATGTGTATGCGACTTTTGGGGCACAAGGGCAGAATATTATAGTGTACATTTAGATGTACCCCAAGAGCCTCATGTGTTCAGAAGCTGCACTTTTGGAAGTGGTTGAATTATGGTATACAATACAGCTGACTTGCTGTTGGGAGAGCCATTCTTGTCAGAGCAAATGGGTCACTGGAGATGGAACCTAAAAGAGTGTCTTTCCCTCTCTTGCTAATCTCCTTGCTCTCTGGCAACCATAACACAGCAGCCTTCCTTCTGCTCTAGTCTTCTGCCACACAGTTTCTGTGTCTAAGCAGACCAAACATGGATAGTGAGCCAAAAAAACCTTACCTCTTTCAAATTGTGAGTGTTGGGCATTGTGTCCCAGTGATGAGGAAGGTGACTAAGATATTTGCACTGGAGAGAAAGGCACTTCACAATGGGAAGGAAGACCTACTGTAAAGTTCAGAGGCAGCAGGAGAGTGCTGTCTAAGGAAGAAGAAAGAATAAGCTCAGGAAGGCAGGTATAGAAAGATGTGGGCAGGTCATATTCTGTAGGTTAAGACATATGGAGGAGAGGTAAGGGAAGAAAGAATAAGTACAAAGAAACAAACAGCAGTAGCTGAAAACCAGCTTTTCTATTAGTTGTGATCTACACTCAAAATTCACTGACTCAGAAAAGAGGTAAAGGGGAAGGCTAAGAGAACAGGAACAAAGCATGAAGTCAGGAAAGAAAAACTGCATCTACTCCAAGAGTCATGCAGGATATATAAAGTCTTTTCCTAATTTTAAACTTTGTCCTAATAATCTCCATCACAGTGATATGAAAATCTTCCCAAATAACACAGTTCTAGTTGCCCTTACCTTGAGCACATAATGGTGTGCGGGGTCTCCATGTGCCATCTGACTGGCATGTAGCTGAATGGCTTTGTATTTCGCCATCACATCTATAGCGAAATACGTCATTATAGGAAAAAGGACAGTCAATGGTAAAAGCATATTTTGCATCAATGCTTCTACCATTCTTCACCTCTGGAGTTGGACAACATACCTCTAAAAATAAAAAGTGAGGATCCTGGTTAGTAAAACCAACATGAGGAAGCTCTCATAACTAATGATCTCAGGTCCGCCCTTGAAGGTCTCAACCACTGAACAGTGGTCAGGAAAACAGAAAAGGGGCCCAAAGCAGCTCACTCTGTGTTACCCATCCCTGACTGCTGGAGAAATCTAGTCCAGTCATTTTTCTCCAATTAGGCATTTTCGCTGGAAGCCTCCACTGGAAAGCTGTAGCACACCCATACTAAAATGTAAATTTTCACTATTATTCAAGAAAAATGATCACATCCATTTCCTGTGGCTTCACTGGACTTGCACCATGATTAAGCTTTCTACTACCATATGCTTCTTCAGTTACAAGGAAAAGGAAAGTTCTCAACTGCATATCCACCTGACAGCTAGTACATAAAAATAGATGTAAATTGTTGCTATGGCCAGGATTTTTCTTGCTTGATACAAAATTTAGAGAAATAGCTATCCAGTTTCCTCCATTTTTAAGACAAGAGATGATAAAGGGATGCAATTTTTCATTCATTAGCAGAAATACCTTACAGTGTTGGTTGATATTGTCTGATGTAAGGCAAAATATCAGAACAGAATAAAATATGCTATTCTCCATATAAGAAGCTTGCCTGGCACTGCAATAAAGACTTATAAGCATACTGAGATACAGTCAGTGCCCAGTTTTTATATGAAAGATAGTCAGTGCTCATTTTTATATCCATGTGATTTTTAAACTGAAACAACAATATTTGTGCAATGCTTTGTAGTGTAGAATACACAAATATGTAAGTCATGAGTCTAATAATTAATCAGATTGTACATTTGAATACCATTTCACTCTGCTACTTAAATGGTTAAGAATATGCTTTAGTATATAATTAAATCAATAACATTATTTTGAGTGAAGTGAATATAGCTAAAAATAAGTTTTTAAACATCTACAAGCAACACCTTGTTAAGCAGGTGACAGCCATAAGTTTTGTTAAAGATACTTTCGATTCAGTCTTTTTACTAAAACTTTTCGTTCTATTTCTCCAACATGGGTCTGAATAACTGCAATGAAATCATGTTGAGTTTTAATATGAAATCATCTGACTAGTTGATCTAAAATATCACTGCTCGTCATTTCTGTATTTCACACATTTTTCAAAGTCTAATCTGGAGCCTAAATTTCCCTGTAATCTGGATCTCAGTGTTTTACCCTCTGAAACGTGAAGGTTCAGTTAGATGGGCAGGAGGAGCACTTTCTCCCTTTCTTTCATGTTCATTGAGGTCCATAACACAACGTCCACTTACTCTGCAGCCCCTTACTCTTCCCACAAGCAGAGAAGCAAAACTGGGAATTTCCTCTTCCATTCTGAGGTGAAAACCCCATGGCAGGAGTCAGGACCTGTCTTGTAAAAGCTGGTGACAAGCCTACAGTCTCGTGTCTCAGGAGACACGAGGCACAGGTCAACTTGCAGTTGGTTGAGTTCATGATGGTTTCACAGGCTTTCCTTCTGCTGTGTGGCCTACAGTTTACTTTGGGGAGGCTTGAGAGCTATAGGAAAGCTCAGACTCTGACAGTGGTTGACCTGTAGTCTGCATTCTATCTTTCCCAGTCCTGAAGCTAACACTCAACCTGCATACTGTTTGACTTCTGTGCATATTTCTCAATTGATTCTAAACTGGCCCAAGGGAAGGTCATGCTTTCTTGATACCTCAAACTCCAAGTCTCCTATGGTCCCTTTTTGTGACAAGAGTTCACTATGCCTGGAATAGTGTACTCGAAATTTATCTTGAGGGATAAAACTTATGTAATTTAAGGTAGAGAATCCTACCACACATGAGGCATTGAATATGCAAAAATATTTTTAAAACAAAACAACTCACTCTTGCACCCTTTGGCTGGGCTCCATTTGAAATCACTCTGGCAAGTCACAGTTGTAAGCTCATATGTAGCAGGTTTGTAGCCAGGATGACAGTAGTACCTGAACACTGTTCCAGGTGAATACACTTCCCCTTTTCTTGGCCTCCTAAATCCATCCCAGTAAGCATTTGGAACTTCTGGTAAGTCAATGCAACTATCTGCTCACACAGAACAAGAGGAAAGGGCAGTGTTAATGGGACTGCACCACAGTCAATGACCCTGTCCCATCAAGTGCTCATTCATTTAGAAGCTACCTTTCAATGGCTGGTGAATGAACCACACCAGAAAACACAGATGGCATTTGCCCCACCATTCCACCCCAGCTGCTGATTCAAACGATGTGGAAACAAAATACCGATATCTACTAAGTTGGATGTTTATTACATTTTATCTGCAAACATTTGAACAGTATAAGGAATTCAATGGTTCTGAGGTATATTCACAGAATTTTACAGCCATCACCACTATCTAATCTCAGGGTATTTTTAGCACCTCAAAAAGAAAGCCTATATTTTTACCAGCAGTCACTCTCAATTCCCACTTCTTCTTAGGTCTTGGCAACGATTAACTTATTTTTTTCTCTCTTTGGATTTCCTTATTCTATACATTTCAAATAAATGCAATCATATCAGTAGTTCTTTTGGGGGGGTCTATCTTCTTTTACTTAATGTAATAATGTTTTCAAGGTTCATCCATGTTGTATCATATATTGGTACTTCATTCTTATTGCCAAGTGATATTCTATTGCATAATTACACCACTTTTAATTTTGTCTGTTACTAAATTTATGATCATATTATGGATGCTGCTGCTATGAACCTTCATGTAAAAATTTTTATGTGGACATCTATCTTCATTTCTCTGGGACTGATACCCAGGAGGGTAATTGCTCAATCATATGATAACTATATGATTTTGCTTTAGAGGAACTGTCAAAACCATTGTACAAAATTGTTGTAGTAATTTATATTCCCATTAGCAGTGTATGAGAGTTCTAGTATTTCCACAAATGTTGGTGAAGATGTGTATCTTGTTTTTATTATAACAATTGGGATGGATGTGCAGTGGTTTCTAGAAGACAGTTTTTACAAACAATAATGGAGAAAATTATTTAGGCTGAGAGTGAGTGATACCAGGTAGTCTCTGAGTTTATATAGGAAATAATGAGCACCTGAAAAAGTTGTTGCATGGGTAATTTAAAAAGAAAATGCACAATCATCCTTTCATATCTGTAAGGATTTGTCCCAAGACCCTCACAGATGTCCAAATCTGTAGATGCTCAAGTCCCTAAAATAAACAGTGTAGTATTTACATAAAACCTACACACATCATCACAAATACTGCAAATCAGCTCTTGATTACCTACATGCAATGTAAATGGCATATAAATAATTTTTACACTGTATTGTTTACAGAAGTTATAAGCAAAAATTCTGTAGGTATTCAGAATAAACACAAATTTTTAATTTGCCCTCCTAGGTTTCAGTCTTGTTTTATTCCAACAACAGACATCAATTTTTTCAAGTGCTTTCCATCTGCAGCTGGTGAAATCCCAAGAGTTGAAATCTGCAGCTACAGACTGCACAAAAACAATGTATATATAAATCATTATTAAGTCTACAATAGAAATACAGTATGTTTGACAGTGATAGTACAAGGGAGGTAGGTCTGAATGAAGCTATACTGGAGAATGAAAACATCAGATAATAATCTGAATCCACAGGGAGAAATAAAGAGACCTTGAAGTGGTGAAGAACCAGTTCAATGTAATCAACTCTATAAATAATACTTGCTCTTCTTTTTTCTCTAAGCCACCATAAAAAACATGAAACATAAAAATTATAATAATAATTATAATAATAACTAGAATAATGTGGTATTTCTAATAAACATAGATATGAAATGTTTTACTGGATGCTTAGCTGATTTTTTTTCCTTCTGCACATTGAATCTGTCATCTCACTGTCATCTAACCCCATTGTTTATGATGATAAGTCAGCTGTTAATCTTACAGAGGTCATTACACATGATGTGCTGTTTTTCTCTTGCAGCGTTCTAGATTGTGTCTTTAGCTGAGACTTTGAATATTTTAACTATGATGAATCTATATCTGGATCATTTTGCATTTATTGTACTTAAGTTTAGTGAGCTTCCTGAATGTATAAATTATTATTTTGTCAACTTTGGGAAATTTTCAGTCATTTTTCTTTAATAGTTTTTTAATTTTGATAATGTCTTCTTTTCTCTACTGTCACTATGCATACGTTGGTACACTTAATAAATTATGTCCTATTCCTTGTACTTTTCCCATTTTTCCTTATTTTTTTTCTATATACTCCAAATTATGTCTTCTTAATCAATCTATCTTCAAATTCATTGTTTCTTTCTTCAGTCAACCCAGATCTACTCTTGAACTTCTCTAGCGAATTTTTCATTTTATTTATTGTGCTTTTCAACTCTAGAATGTGTACTTGATTTTCAATTAGTTTCTATTTTTATTGATATTTTCTGTTTGGTGAGGCATTGTGAAAATACCTTACATTTCAAAAAACTGTTTCCTTTAGTTCTTGAATATATTTATACTAGCTGCGTTGAACTTCTTTTCTACTAAATCCAACCTATGGGCCTCCTCAAAGGAAGTTTCTGTTGTTGGTTTATTCTCTCAGTATGGGTGATTTCTGTTTCTTTTCATGTCTGATAATTATTTGTTGAAAACTAGACATGTCCAATAATATATTTTAGCAATTTTGTGTCTAACTCTCCCTCACCAACCTCAGGACCTCTTGTTCTCTTCTTGTTTGCTTGTTTATCTAGTTACTTGACGAAACTAGTTCAGTATGTCTATTTTCCCCTAAAATATGCAACACCAAACGGCATGATTCAGAGAGCACTGCTTTGAGTGTACTCAGTCAGCCTAACTACAAGGAGTAACTGTGCTTTCATTTCCTGTCTCTTTCTCATCAAGCTTTTGGCTGACCTACCTCTGTTATGTTACATTTAACTGTTAGCCTCCAGTAATTGCTATCTCATTGCTCAATTGTTATTTTTTACAACTCCCTGGGTCATAAATTGCTACACAGTCTGATCTAATGAAAGACAGGCCCTTTGGCGGGGACAGGGTATTAACAGTCTTTGAAGATTGCTCCAAACCTACACTGGAAAAACTTCTGTGCTACCGATCAGGAGCTAAGAAAATAAGGAGACTTCTTCACCAGGTCCCCCACCAGCCTCTTTCCCATAGTGTGGAAGCTGTGAACAGGGAGAAGGAGTGCAGTAGGAAACAGTCTGCCACCCAACTGTGCTTGCCTCCAAGTGTATATACATCCCACAGCACAGAGCCATTGGAGATAAAATCTGCCATTACTCACTGATTTTCAAATATACCAACAACACTTCTATTCTTGGAAGCTAGGGAAGATGGGAGAAGCCACTCAGCTGCCTGGCCCACTGGAGCAGCTTTCCTGCGACACAGAGCTGTGCAGGAAATGAGAGCTCAGTTCTCCCAGCTGCTTTACCTGGGTCCTCCCTGTATAGTGGAAATTGGGGTAGAGGAACAGACACCTATGTCTTGCTGCTAGCACCAGTTTACAGCGTGGAACGGTGGAAAATGCACAATGTTCACTGGCTTCCAGCCCTACCCCAAATAACTCTTCTACCTCAAAGAGGTACACTGAGCTGGGGGACATTGGAGCTACCACTTGTGAACCCACAGAAATATTTTCCCAACAAAATGGTGCTATTCCGTGTGGGGTGTAATTCCTAGTTCTAAGGCAGTGGCCTTCTACTGTTTGTGTCACAAATCTCCACAGATTTGCTGAATAAATGCTGCTTAATTTGATATAAGTACAGTGAATGATTTTCTTTGGTAATTTTGACTCGTTTAATATATACGACATCAGGAGTGAGATTTTCCCAACACTTTAGCCAACACTGTTGCAGAAGTCCCCAAAGTAAAGGCTCTTGACACTTTATGAGGGAAAAACTAAGAGTACAAGGCACCAGAGGCTTCTTCCCCTCACCAGCTGTATAATCTCAGGAAGGCCATTGAGCCTCTGTGAATAGTTTCTCTATTTATAAAATGAGGATAATAACAGTGCTCGCAATAGTTTGGAGGGTTTATTGACTTAGTACTTGTTAGGCACTGATACTAACTCCAAAATACCATTATTATTTTCATTGTTATTTTAATAGCCCACATGAATTTATAATTTTAGATTTTCAGAATTGTAACTACTCTATCCAATATTGTGGGGAAAGCTAGGAAAAAGACATTTTTCTCTCAGGACATTTTATTGTTTAACCTTTCAAAATAATGATCAGACTGTAAGTAGAGAATGTTAAACTAAGAGAATGCTCTATCAACTGCCGGGTTATTGTTGGCATAAATATACAACCCACCACATCTGCAATGTTAATGCAGGACCAGAGTGAACATGACTGGGGAAGCTGTACATGGAAGCCTTTTGTGGTGATATCCAACCTTGCAGAGTACACTGAAACCATTCCTTACAACAACAAAATAATAATAACAATAATAATAATAATAATAATAATAATAATAACAATGAAATGTATTTACCTAAATTTAAACTCTAGCTGTGACTCAGAGTAGGTCTAGCCTTATAAGTTGCCTGTGTTATCATTTCTGGGTACCTTTAGATGCCAACCATTGAAATCCCTTCATGGCCCATACTTACTTAACTCACAAACAGGAGGAGAAGGATTCCAGTTGTTATCAGCTTCACAACGGATTAAACTGCTGCCTCTGAGGACAGAACCTTTCTGGCAGCTAAACACAATAGAGTCTTTAAAATTATAGATGGGTCCAAATCCAGAAACAATATTTGCATATTGAATGGTAGGCTGACGACAGATGATTTCTAAAGAATTATTAGAGATGAGAAGTGAATTTTAAAAGATAAATGGAATTTTAAAAGATAAATTACTGCTACTACTAATCCAATTGTGAGTTTAAATGCCTAACATAAGCACATCTCAAATATACACAAGAGAAAACTTTTTTTCTTGCCATATTGGGGTTTGAACCCAGGACCTTAGCCCTGAGCTACATCCCCAGCCCCTTTTTTATTTGGAGACAGGGTCTTGCTAATTTGCTAAATTGCTTATGCTGAGCTCAAACTTTTGATCTTTCTGCCTCAGCCTCCCAAAGTGCTGAGATTACGGGCATGTACTGGCATGCCTGGCTACATTTTCAAATGAATATATAGATATAGATATATATACATAATTTCAGTTTTTAAATGTCTCAATAAAATGAGACCACATCACGTTGGTCCTTATCTGAGATGACTATGAATAACTCCAGGTTACTAATCATTTTTATGCCAAAAGAATCATGCAAAGCCCCCAAAGCTTCCAACGTAATGGTAGAATTCCTTCGATGATTGTGGTTGTGGCTCGGTAGTCGATTGTGTGACGTGATGGTCATGATGAGACGGCCGAAGCATCAGAGACTGTGCCCCCCAGCACAGAACAACCATGCCACACCTCTCACCCTGTCGTCTGGTCACTTATCAACCTGTAGTCCCTCAACTTCTCTCCAGGCCCAATGCCATGGCTGCAGCTGAACCACCTTTATTGCTTGGCTGGATACTGACAGCAAGGTCTACCTTAGTCCAATCCTACTGCTAGAACAAAATTCTTTAGATTGGGTAACTCATAAGTAATAGGAATTTATTTCCTCACATTTCTGGGAAATAAGAAGCCCAGGGCTTGGGCATCAGCAAATTCAGGGTCTGGAAGGGGCTTACTCTCTGCTTCTAGGATGGTGCCTTGGTGTCTTGGTGCCCTGGTTTTGCAGAAGGGATAAATGCTGTGCCCTCATATGAGAGACTAAAAGGACCAGGGCTCTTCCTTCAACTTTTGTTAAAAGGGCATCAATCACTTTCCCAAAAGCCCTACCTCTAACACTGGGTGTTGATTTTACATCTAAACCATAGCAGGTGCCTATTGGTCAAGGTATGTCCCATCTCAAACTATTACCCATCCTGCAGCCAGAGTTATCTTTCTAAGATGCAGTGTATTTGCCATCCTAGTAGAGCCTTTCATCTTCCCTTGACCTTCACACTGAACTCCTGAGAGTGATGTATGAGGCCCTTTTCAACATGATTCTGCTAAACTTTCCAGGCTTAGCTCCTGCCTCTTCTATCCCTTGCAGTCCTGACTCAGTTATTTGGGTCAGGTTAAAATGCTGGGCTCTCTGGTCCCACTGGTTGGATTTCAGGCTGGAGTAAGGCAGAGTAGTAAGTGATACTGAGTGAGCATTAGTAGTAAAGGAAGATGGTTTGGGTTAGCAAATCAGCAATACCACAGTGTATCTTCCAGTTCAATTATTGCTCGCTTGTCTGGTTGGTCTTCCAGATATTAGGAGGTTTTGTTTGTTCTCCAGGAAAATGTGGTTGACATTACAAGTGTTAACTAATATTTCCAGTTCTTTTTTCCTGAATAGACAAAAGATTGCATTCCTCAGTCCTCTGAGGATAGAAAGGGATTGCACATTACTAGTTCTAGATAGAAATATGTGACAGAAAGTGATCTCTGGTCATTTCCAAGCCAAAATTCTTATAACCAGAGTGCAATTTGCCTTTCTCTCTTCCTCTACTGAAAAGCTTGTGAAAGTGCATTTGGATATGGAAGTGCCAGAAGATCAAAACCACCTGGACTGATGAGCTGGTCACTAAGATAACACTTAGGCTACAGCTGGCCTGCAGCATTCCCTGGATATGGGAAAGACTCCTGATGAATAGGAGAAACTTGTACTTTACAAACTAGTGAGAGATATTGGTATGCTCTGCTACTATATTCAAATAGCATGCAATAAATATCTGTTGGCCAAAAAAAATGATTGCTTCAGTGCACTCTCTAGTTCATCTTTAAATTGTTCCATTTCCTCCCAAAAAGTTACTTTACTTTTTAAAAAAAATGAAAATAATTTGAAGCAAAATTCATCGCTATGACTTACTTTTACAGGTTGGAGGGCTTGGGCTCCAGACACCAGCTGTTTTATTCACCACTGTACAAGAAACAGAGGGACTGCCTAAGAGTGAATAGCTGGGATCACAGCTGTAGGTGACTGAGGAGCCATATGTGTAGAGGTCTTCGTCTCCACCACTGTGTTTCCCATTGCTGATGTCTGGAGGGGATTTACACTTAATAACTGAGAGGAGTAAGAAGAAAGAAATATTAGAAAAAGGCCTCATTATAAACCTAAGATTCCTGCAAAGTCATATGAAAAGTACAAACAGTAGTAAATATGCACAGCATTGCTATTCTTAACATAGTTTAACTTTATCATCTAAGTCAGAAAAAAAAACTACTTACTTTCACACACTGGAAAAGGAGCGCTCCAATCAACTCCTTTGTCTTGGATCTCACAAACACTCATGGTTGGGCCAACTAAATGATACCTGAATAAGATAAACAATCAAAGATTTTAACGGAATTTTCCCTACCCTAAATTAATGGGATAAGGGGATTTGAACAAGTAAAATTATTAATCAATATTAAAATGAATAAACAATGTTTTCTTGGATATCACTTCCCACTGAGCACTCCTGTTAGTAAAATTTCATTACTGCAATGAACAGTGTGTGTTTGTTCCTTTGTCCTTTTGCTCTTTACCCCCGGACTGAGCATCTGGCAGGTGTCAGGCCTGAGCAGGACCTAAACTGCTCACATTAATGTGTTGTGCTGCTTTCTCTGATTGACGGTGTCAGCAGCATTACCGACTGAAACCTTCATGGTCTCTACATCGAAGCCATTTCTGACTCACAGGCGCCTTTCTTACTTCTATGCATTAACTCTCTATACAACACTCCCATTTTATGGCTCTCACGAGTTCTAACCTTTCCTCCACTTGATTTCCTTCTGTATCTTATAACAGAAAAAAAGGCATCTCCAGTATGACCTCACACTGAGGCATCATCAAGAAATAAACTTGCAGGGTGATGTAACACTAACGTTAATATCCTCTTTAACAATCTAAAAGTCCCTGGAATTTATTGAATAATAATTTAAAGGTGTTAACTTTAATAAAGTAAGATTTGCTAGAAGTAAGCCTTTCTTTACTGTTATGTTTCTTTTTTTATGTTTCTTTAAAATGTAACTTCTCTAACCTGGTGAATAGTTTTTTTCGACTACTTTAAGAGCAACTTAGTGTTGCAATAGCACCACAGTTTTGAATCTTCTCAGTTGCTCCTTTGGAAGCCATCCACAGTAGGGGACCTGGGATAAAGCTGAAAAACCAGTGAAAATAAAGCAACAGCAGGAAAAAATCATGGAAAAATAATAGATATAGATGGAAAGTACAGGAGAATCCTTGAATGCTTTATTGTAGAATAAGATAGCTATTTAAAGATATACAAGTAAATGATATTGAAATAATACTTTATATGTTAAAGGTGCACGTCACATAGCAATAAAATTAGACCAGATGGCCTTTACCAAGGCAATTAAGAATAAAATTATTAGATTTCAAAGATAATGAATAATTACCTTTAGACAGCCAAAGTCCAAGCTGTGTATAAGAAAAGGAAATTGAGGCTGACATCAGCATGTCCTATGGCATCATTCACCAGCAAAAGATACTATTTCAGTACCTCTCAGATAGCTGTAAAATGGATGTGCTTCATAGCAAACCTCATTATCTTTTAACTTTTCATTATTTCTTAAGTATCTCTATCTCTTAGTTCCTCAGATTTGAACCTGCAAGAGCTTACAGGATAATTTTCACTTAATTTGTTTGATTGGGGGGGGGCTTTGATGTATTCTGTTGTTTCTTTTTTAGGAAATTACTACTATGCAAAGTACAGCCAACTGAGAGACTACAATGGTAAATTTAGCCACAAACAAAAACTGGTACTGAACATTGAACATGTAGATCAAGGACAACAACCAAAATGGGGCTAAGAGTTATTGAGTGAAATATAAATGTTTTATA